GTAAGTAAACCAAGAGTCACAAAACTCACCTGCCCTTCACTTTGTAGGAGAGAAGGCCCCTCCTTGCTCCTCCATCTAGACCACATGTGTCAAACACAAGGCCCGCGGGCCAAATCCGTCCCGCCAGGCCTTGCAATGTGGCCCACACCGCGCTGTCATCACTGCACTCCGCTGCGTTTCCATCACAATGACAGTTTATGACTGTTCAGTAAACCATTCGGCCCGCGATTTAGGCTGGATTTTAGATTTTGGCCCCTTCTCTGATTGAGCTTGACACCCCTAATCTAGACTATTGGCTTATACTTTGAACATAATTCTAACAAATGGGGTTTACTGATTCCTTGGCTGCACAGAACAGGGGTCCAAGAGGTGGGCACTTGACCAGCAATTAGAAGAAATAAAAGACACAATGACAAGAGGGAGGATAACCCTTAATAACTGCATCCACTTAGGGATGTGAGTCTTGTTATCCAAAAAGGTATCACTGTTTCATAGCGTGATTAAAAAAACTATATTCATAACGACAATCCTCACCAATTGGAGAGTGTTTCAAATGTGTTGTAATATCCAATTTAAAGAAGGGAAAGAGGCAGTTTCTATTAAATGTTGCTTTTTTTTTTTTTTTTTTTTTTTTTATCAGTACAGAAGTCTTTTTTATTTCCCCCACTTACCATGCCATGGATTCATAGGGAACGGGTTCCAGCAGCTCAGGCTCCTCCCCATTGGTTCTCACACAGTGCGCTTCTCTGGGTGGAGCAGGCTAACGCTTCAGTTGAACCCAGGTACCTTTCTCTCTGGCTTCCTTCTTTCTCTGATCACTTTCCTTAACATGTTTTAGGAAGCTATCTGGGCTCTTAGAGTGCTTAATATGCTCAATACATACATTCATTCTCTTGGGAAGAAGCTTGCCCTTAACTTGCTTCTTCACAATAATGCCCACTGCATGCTGGGTGACACTGTAGATCCTCCAGTTTTGCCATGGTAACATTGTAGGGCATTCCTTTTCGAACAGGGCCCATTCCCTTGATGCCCACAATATCGCCTTTCTTGTAGACTCACATGCATGTGGCCAAAGGAACAACTCCATGTTTTCTAAAAGGCCTCGAGAACGTATAGCGGGTGCCTCTCCTCGTTTCCTTTGTGTTAGTCATTTTGGCGAATTACTGGAAGATGGCCGAAAGGAAGCAAATGTTGCTTTTTTTGTTATAAAGTTAAGCAGCTGGAAATTTGCCATCCATATTCCCCAATAAGGTTGGATAATCTAGGCATTCCTATACATTTTACAAATCTGAACATTTTTATGTACATTTCTTCCATCATTTCTGCTGAATCTTATATAATTACGTGGCCTTGTGCATGAAATTCGTGCACTGGGGCGGGGGGGGGGTGTGTGTGTGTCCCCTGGCCTGGCCTGTACCCTCTCACAGTGCAGAAGCCCTGCAATAGATTGCCCCAAAGAGGTAGGTCCTGCCTATCCATCTGGGGCTCCTAGATGGATTGCCCCAAAGAGGTAGGCTAGAGCCGGTGGCCCTGCCTCCATAGTGGGCATGGGGCCGTGGGAACCCTGGCAGAAGCCACGTGGAGCAGCCACCGGGATCTACCTCCCAGTGTGAGGCAGCAGGGACTCTCTACCACAACCTCCACATGAGGCAGTGGAGACACCAGGACCTGCCTCTTCCACTCCATTCGGAGCATCTGCATGGCCCCAGCTCCTCTGTGCGAGCAGCCATCTTGTGACGGCGTGAGGGCATCAGAGCATCAGGGTGTGACGATCACCTAGGCTGTGGTTGGCAAACTGTGGCTCTCGAGCCACATGAGGCTCTTTGGCCCCTTGAGCATGGGTGAGTCTATTTTGAAGAAGTGGCATTAGAGGAAGTTTAAGTTTAAAAAATTTGGCTCTCAAAAAAAATTTCAATCGTTGTACTGTTGATATTTGGCTCTGTTGACTGATGGGTTTGCCGACCACTGACCTAGGCAATTATTAATAGAGATGCCAATCACTTAGTCCCGTGCAATGTTTTTATCTTAGTTTCCCCAGAAAACAGTGGGATTAACTAACTCCCTATGTTTCTCTGATTCCATGGTTTTAAAATTTACACGCCATTCCTCATTTGTTTTAAAGTGTTGTACAAAAACAAAACTTTTTCATTCTCAGGATACATGAGAGCATACTTGTTTATGAGTTTAATTGTTAATGGACTATAAAGCATGAATATTAATAAGAAACCCAAAATATTGACTCAATAAGTCTTATTAGGGCTTTGAGAAAATGAGAAAGGTAGTGGTGAAAATATTAGACTACAAGTGACAGGATCTCTCAATAATCTTATTAGAAACTAACTAAGTAGCATCTTTGAATTCTAAAGAACTGAGGAGCCATTCACACCTGCTCCCAAAGATAGCATGGCTCTGTGTAGGTTTTGACATGCAGGAATTTTAATGCGCCTCATTACACACACACACACACACACACACACACACACACACACACACCACTGCCAATCCTTCAGTTGTAGGTAATGACACTGATAATTATCTGATGCAAATGAAAAGGGAATTATAATTCATTCTGTTGAGCACCTGCTTTGGCATTTACCCTACTACTGCTTTCAAAGCAAAAGATACAGAGGCTTTGTGTGTTCAAATGACGCAAATGAAAAGTGTGAACTTAGATGAGCTGTTTTGTTTACCTAATAACAGGAAACTTAAAGAAGGTATTTTGAGCATTAGTACCATGCTGGAAACTGAAGGTCCAAAGATTTGAAAAGGTTCCTGCCCACAAATAAATTACCATCTATTATGGAGAGAACAGGCATGCTCACCACTAACTTCAGTGCAAGGCTAATAATAGGAAGATGGACAAGGTTTATTAGCATGGAGAGAAAAGAGGAACTGAAGAAGGCTTAGGAAGGTAGCATTTGATCAGGGCCTTGAAGGACAGAAAGGAAGTCAGAAGCAGAAGAGGTAGATAGAGCTTTTCATCCCCCCAGACACACACACACACTCCCCCCAGACACACACACACACTCCCCATCTCTTCACTCCCATCGACTCTACCCACTCCACCAAAACTTCCTTAGAATCCAACTTCTGCATTGAACAGTTCAGAATCTAATCTTGTTTGATGTCTCTATTTCCAATGAAGAAACCGAGGCATGTGGGGTGCTCCTCACGTAAGGAATAGAGGGAGCCAAGGAATAGAGTTGGCTTGTACATGATGCCTTTGGGAAACAATGAGTGGCCAGAGGATGGGGCGTTCAGAATGGGAAGAAACATTAAAGGCAGATTGTGGAGAACTTTAAATACCATATTAAGAAGAGTGGGCTGTATCCTCAAAGGTAGAAGGAGAAGGCGGGGGCAGCAGGGACAGGTCTGAAAAGGGAGAGAGACAGGCTGGGACCAGGTGAGAGGCAACTGCAATTGTCCAGATGGGAGGCAATGACTGTTGAAATTCAGAAAATGACATGACAGAGTGAGCCCAGAAGAGTGAGAGAGACACGGAGAAAGTACGGTGACATAACCACGGAACCACAGGCATGATGGGGTGGGGGGGAAATTGGAACCGGGGGGCGGGGGGGGGGGGGGAGAGAGAGAGAGAGAGAGAGAGAGAGAGAGAGAGAGAGAGAGAGAGATCTTTTCCTAGAATTCCAGGTTCTTGTTTACCAAGTGTGTAGCACCAGGAAAGCCTTTCATGTACCATGTGCCTCAGTTTCCTCACTGGACATGGAGGCATTAAACAAGATCTTGAACTGTTCCATGAAGAACTATTGTAGGTTTCCCAGCACGTTTTGATGCAGTGGGTAGCGTGGGTGGATAGAGAAGGGGTCCCCAGGGAGTGTGTGGGGGTGAAATGGGTGTGATTGGAGAGTGTAGTGGGAATGAGGCGCTCTAGATCCCAAAATCACCTACCTAACAGAACATCTCCTTTTTGGAACTGAATTTCTCGTAACATTAACTTTCTAACAGAATCCCCCAAACAAACAAAAAAGCCCAACTAGTTCGATAGCCACTGAATGACACAGATAATCTCTCAGATCCCTTTGAGCTGACCACAGAAACTGGTTATCCGAGAGATCTGCTAACACAGTCGATGCGGGCCTCGTTTTTAAGACCCTGTCCGTGTGTTCCTCTGTTTATTTGATTAACTGCTGCACAAATGCTGGAAACAACTGGAACAGCAATTGTCATGCTGAATCTGTGCCAAAATTCTCAGAAACGGGGAAGATTTACTGAAAGGCCACTTGGTGTTCTTACTCTCATGCTTGGTACCTTTTTCCAAGACAGTATGTTTTCCAAACCTCACAAGCGCCAGTGTGAAGAGGTGCCTTGCCTACGAGTACAAAAACACGGCTTCCCTGCTGACTGCTGTCAGGCTCCGGGGAAGCTGAGTTACTGCTCTGGGTTCCGTTTCCTTGCCCATAGAATGAGACAGCCTTGCAGCAAACAGTCCTAGAGGCCCCTTCCAGCTCCAACATTCCAGGATTTCATGATCCTAAACCTCGGAGCCTCTTATCTGAGCAATTCCCAGATCAATAGCATGTGCTCTCAATCTCTCTTGGTCACAGTCAGATGGCCAGTATATTAAGGGCTTTGGGCTGTTGACTTTAAGGATTGGGCAATGTGTGCTCTAGCCAAATCAGAGTCCTGCAAATGGATCATTCTGAGCAGAGGGCTCAGGTCTAAATTAACAGCAGATCTTCAGACACACAATGCTTTGTGGGCCAGTCTCTGGCGTAGAGAAACCCTGTGCCTAGGTAAAAGCCCCTGTGAAGGTCTACAAACCCCCATAAAAATGGAAACCTATCGGAACAGCTGCAAAGTTTAGACCAGAAAGTCTCATACAGGTTCTGAAACTTACGTACACCCTGCCTCCCTTTGCCTGTTGATTTCTCTACCCCTCCCCACAATTAAACACAAATTTTTCTTTTACAACAATTCCTTAAAAAAAAAAAGATTTTAAAAAAGAGAAAGTTAAACCAAAGAGGCGGATGAACACTCACTGGGAGAGCGTGGCCAGGCTGCGTCTTCCCTTCGAACCGGATCCCCTGAGCATGTCTGCAGCTGGAAGGGGCGGAGGTGCTGGAGGTGCGGAGACCCTCTGGCGGTCAGGGTGGGGGCCGGGCCCCATGAGGTGCCATGTTATCTGGGGCTGAAGTGCCGTGTGCAGGATGCTCCCGTGTTTTCCCTTTGTGTTAACACTTTTTGGTCTGTCCCTGTGACGAAAGTCTGGGCTTGTCCTCTGCCAAATCTACTCCTCCCCACCCTTCCCTCAGCATAGGATCATCAGAGAGCTGATTGTTATTTTTTACTGTAATCTCTCTAATAGAAGCCCATCCCGTTTAGGGAACCAACTGCTCGGGGGATTTCCAAAATGTTATGACGGGGTAGTAGGGGCCAGGATCCCCAGCAGCTTTCACGAGGAAGACTTTCTATGATTAATTACAATGAATTATCCCAAGGCAGAGAGAACTGCTTATAGGAAAAGACGCTGATCCATGTGGAAAATAGGGACCATGGAATCACTTGCCTACACATCCAGTGCTGAAGAGATCAACGGAAGTCAGCCCACCGAAAAGTTCATGGGGTGCCGTTCTCAGGCCCTCAGTCTGAGCTCTGTTCTCAATTAGCATGGGTGTAGGTGGCTTCCAAAGCAAACAGTTCCCACTGAGAGATCAAATCTGAAAAACTCCTCTTATCCCTTTTTTTTCCAGGGAAAGACGCATGAGCCGAAACCAGTTTGGCTCAGTGGATAGAGCGTCAGTCTGCGGACTGAAAGGTCATGGGTTCGATTCCGGTCAGGGGCATGTATATTGGTTGAGAGCACATCCCCAGTGTGGGGTGTGCAGGAGGCAGCTGGTCGATGGTTCTCTCTCATTGACGTTTCTAGCTCTCTATCCCTCTCTCTTCCTCTCTGTGGAAAATCAATAAAATATATTTTAAAAAAAAGATACATGATATAAAAATGCAAAGCAAAGGCGAAGGGAAGAAGAGAGGCTGCCCATCTGTGATAAGCTGGGTTATATAGGCCGTGGGGGTGCTCATGTCCCTCCATGAAATGAGGGAGGCAGCCTGCCTGGCATATGTTGCAACAGCAGCCCAGTCTGCACCCAGGGCGCTCTGCTAGTAATCTCATCAGCCACGCTGGGCAAGGGAGCCTGGTCAGCAACAGCGTGGAAAGCAACCACATTTGAGCCCCCAAGAAAGGGGTGGTGTTGGCTCTACCTGGAGATGACACTCATCTGGGCCTGAGTTATGGATACATTTCTTTATCTCTAACACGCAATGAACAGACTGGTGCTGGGGCACCGAGCTGCTGACGGGACTGGCTTTCTGTCAAAGGAGAGCAACTCAGCTCTTCACAATGGAAGGCTGAGATGGTCCTTTTGGGGAATAGCTGGAGAAGCAACCAGCTTCACACATCAAGGGCCCCTTCACGGAATGAAAAACATCTTCGAGGGCTCCAGCTTTGTGTCACAAACGAGGATCCAGAAGCACAGAACATTAAACCATGTGCTTCACGTTATGGGGAACTTCAGTAGCTCCTCCTCGCTCAACGTAAAGAAGTTTTATTTAATTAGGTAAAATGCTCTCTTCACTTCAACGACCTAGAACATTTTGGTTGTTTTCCTACTTAAATACTAGGCTGTCATCACAGTCATAGTTTATAGAGTAAACACGACTTAATGAACCTCAGAGTTAACTATTTCAAGATATCACGATGCACATCCACATTTACATATCTTTTTGATTATGTATAGTGTCATTCAACATATACTGACTACGTAACGTAAAGGAGACACTCACACTCACTGACTTGGCGTGAGTTTACCCGCTCCAGAGCTGAGCTAGAAACACGTGTTAAGACATCTTGCGACTCTCCTTTCTACCAAATTTTGCCCATTTCATTTTTTCCCTTCAAAAACCTGAGGGGCTTGCTGTGGCAGGCAGAATAATGTTCTCCCAAAGACATTCATGTCCTCACTCCCAGAGTGTGTGCATATGTTACTTTACATGGCCAGAGACTTTAGACGTGATGAAGTCAAAGGCTTCGAGGTGGAGAATTTATCCTGGATTAATCCAGATGTGCTCAATCTAATCACATGAATTTTCAAAATCAGAGAACCCTCAGGCGTGGTCTGAGGCAGATAGGACTACCCGGATAGAAGAATGGCCAGAGAGATACACCCCTCACTGGCGCTGAAGGCGGAGGAAGGGCCAGGAGTCCAGGAGTATGGCAGGATCTAGAAGCTGCAAAGGCAAGGGAATGGTTCTCCCTTAGAGCCTCCAGAGAGGAATGCAGGCCCGCCCACACCTTGATTACAGCCAGCAGACTGTGCTGGACTGGTAACCTTTACAGCAGGGGATAACAAGCTGGTGCTGTTTCTTTTAAAATATATTTTATTGATTTTTCACAGAGAGGAAGGGAGAAGGATAGAGAGCTAGAAACATCGATGAGAGAGAAACATCGACCAGCTGCCTCTTGCACACCCCCCACTGGGGATGTGCCCGCAACCAATGTACATGCCCTTGACCGGAATCGAACCTGGGACCTTTCAGTCCGCAGACCAACGCTCTATCCACTGTGCCAAACCAGTTTCGGCAACAAGTTGGTGCTGTTTGCAGTCACCCAGCCAAGGTTGAAGTGACTTGTTCCAGCAGCGATAGAAAACGAATACATTCGCTTATGGGGCTCATTTGAACACGGGAACACACTTTATCTCCCGATCCCTCAGCCCCTTCCAATCCTGGGGTGACAAATGTAGTTTGGGCACATTCAAAATAAGCCCATAAGATCGTGTGAAAAATTCTGTGATTCTTTCAGGGCAGTCAGATTTTCCACCTCCCAACCTCCACTACCACTATCACACACATACACACTTCTTAACTCGCCACAGAGGAGGGCAAGAATTTAGTAACTTCAGCTACTGTGCAGGCATTCAGGTACTAAAAGTATGCTGATGGCCAGCTGGATAAAGCACCCACCAAGTGACTGTCCAGGCCGTAAGGACAGGGGGAGGGAAGTCCCAGGCCCCCTTAGTTGGTCCTTTGTCATTAAGGGAATGAATACATCTGGGAAGTAGCTATCTGCCTTCAGGTTGAGATAACAAAACTCATGGGTGTCCAAACTCATGCTATCTGTCAGGGAACTGATATAACAAGAGCAGAGAGAAAGGCCCTAGCCGGTTTGGCTCAGTAGATAGAGCATCAGCCTATGGACTGAAGGGTCCTGGGTTTGATTCCAGTCAAGGGCACATGCCCGGGTTGTGGGCTCAATCCCCAGTGTGGGACAAGCAGGAGGCAGCTACACTGGAGAGGCAGGGGATAAGAGCAGGCTGGAGTGGGCCACGGCTTCTAAGGAGCCCCTGAGGTCCGCTGGCTGGGGCGGAGAGGCAAGGCGAGAGAAGTTAAGAAGGACATATCAGAAGGTAATTTGTGAACAGTGTTCAGATCCTGCAGAGACCGACAGGCGTATGTGCTTTCATTGTGTAGCACAGTCAGGTGGGTGCTCAGAGTCCCGCTTCCAGAACTGTCTCTGAGAACTGAATCAATGATCATGTACTAGCACCATGAACAACTGGGCCCATAATCCTTCAGCAAGAGGGTAGGTGTCACACATATGCCATTTCAGGACTGACTAAAGGGGAAACGGGCGTCTGGGCCACTCTCAAATGACTCACAGCCCGCTTCCTTTCTGGATATTTTGTCTAATTTCTCATCAAAGAGATTCTGAACCAGGAATGTTTGAGGGAGGTCAGTGAAACAGAAAGAAATAGCTCCCACCACGGGGTGGTCCTTCATTAATAAAATATGATGAAAAAATAACTTTCCTTCATGGAGGTAGGAGTCTGGGCCACATGATCTGTTCCAGACTTTATCGTCTGCAGTGGTGGAGGACAGCTTCCACCTTGGAGCAATTCCCTAGGGAGCAGAGAGGTATGTGGGAAGTGCCCTCATGCGCTTAACACACACACACACACACACACACACACACACACACACGCTTACCTCCTACAGAAACGCAACTTACACCCAAAGAAAATCTACTCAACAGTTCAAGTAATTTAAACACATTTTGTTAAAAGGCTGTTAAGGAAAAATTTTCTTATAAAGAAATTCATAGACTTTATATTCTTAGCATGAGGCAAAAGACCTTGCCCAGACAACTGCTCCCCATGGGCTGAATAGAGATGGAGGCGAGGGGCTAACTATAATACATAATGGAGGCAAAACCTCTTTCTTCCTTTCCTTGGCCCTTAATCATCTTCCATGGCTGAAGACGTCTCCCTCTCTCCCCCCGTCTCTGCCTCAGGCACTGGACATAATAATTGAAACTGTATTGTGGTGTCCTGTGATATTGCTTTTCCAATGGGTCCTCCTAACAAGTCTTCTCATGAAATCCTCCTCCCTTCACCCATCTCTCTGTGCAAGAGGACAGATGTATCTCTTTCTTCTTTCCTTCCTCTCTTCCCCCATCTTCTCTGCTATTGTCTTCGTGGTTTCAATGTGTGTTCCTTTAGGAATACGTGGTGGGCTGGGAGGGGTGGAGGAATGAATGTGTGGAGAGTCGTTGCTTATCCCTCATCTTAATGTCCCTGTGCCACCCCCTGTCCTTGGCCAGAGTCCTTAAGACGTCTGTGGACACATTCTCTGAATCATTCTTTGCCTGGTCTTTGTCTAGGCCCGTAACATGTCTCCAGTTGCTCTGCTGTCCTATCTCCCCTACAATGGTGTCCGTGATTTTGCCCCAGCATGCTCCCCCAGCAAGTCCTCTAGATAAGTGCTGTGGAGGATCCAAAGATAAGATCAGACCTAAACGGACATATAGTATTCACAAATTTTAATACAAGACAGAAAATGGCCATACTCTGAAAGCAGGAGAGCTAAAGGGCTTCACTTCAAAGTGACATCCTGTTACCAACGTGCCAGTGTTTAACCACCTTTATGCTAATGTATTCTGCTACCGAACTAGACTTCCCATTGCCGAAATAGAAATCTACTTATCTCTGTTATGGCCACAGGTATGAAGTCATCCTTTAGTCTCATCGTTTCTAGGCTTGATGCCAATGCCGATTCTCCGTTCTTTTAATACCAGCCTGAAATATAACAACTCTCCCAGCGAGAAACCAAAACTGGACACAATGAAGGCTGACCAAGGTTGCCTGTGCCTGGACGAAGTCCCGGTGCGGCCCGCCATGTTCCTGTTCACACAGCC